TTCGGGCGCGATTCGTCGCTCGTCTTCGTGTGAAGGGATATGGCGGTGGTTGTCAAAACCCAGGGAACAGCTGGTGAACATCCAAATAGGTGGCAAATGGCCATGGGTCGAAATCCCGTACTGCCAGTGAACATCCCAATCCCTACTAAAATAGACTGAAATGGGTGGTGCACCTAATTACCCCAAAATCGTACCATTGGTTTTGACCCACAGCCAAATGGATGTTCATCCACCAAAAAGCGTATTTCCGGGACCCGCATTGGCAGATTTTGGTGTTTGCCCCTCTTGGTTTCCTTTTGTAACCAACCGAAAGCGGAGTCTCACAAACAAAAAGACACATGGGGGAAAAAACAGACATGGATGTGGACCCATGGAGAAACCGTCCGATGGGCATCCTTGCTGTTGACAAGTTGAAGGGAAGACCCCTTGAGGACAAAGGAAGCAATTTATCGGAGGCGTGCAGCGAATTTCCCCCGCCTTTTGAAGCAGGGGTGTCCCAAGTAAGGGGCATCAGGGATGTTTCCTTTCAAACCCCCAGGTCAGGGGTTCCCATGCTATGTTCAACCCGCAGCCTTACCCCTTGAAAGCTTGTGGGAGAAACCCTCTTAGAATGGCGAAACGGGGCTTGGCGCTGGGAAATGCCTAAATGTACCAAAGAAAATTGGCTTTGCCACCTTCGCGGTGACATACTGCAAACAAAATGAGCGATGCTTGTATGTGCAAACCACAAAGTGCGTCGAACAAGAGAATCCCAGGTATATATATATATAAGATAATATATATATATAAGATACTATATATGTATAGATATAAGATAATATATATATATAAGACATATATATATATGTTATACTCACATCATGTATACGCGAGATACATAGGTAAGGTCTCATAATTCCTCCCATTTGCTTTGGTCAGAGCAGACGTTTGGCCACATGCCACTTGTTCACCCTTGTGATTTGAACATTGGTAGGTTTGCAACAACCCTGGAGCAGCATACCAACATTGTTCTCCAGGTATAGGGCGCTATAGGCCTTTACCCCACGAAAGCGTGTAGCAGAACCACCTACTATACAAGTAGAATGGCCAGGAAGTGGTTTTAACGCTGCTCAAGGGGGGTTTCATCCGGGGAACCAAACCACCCAGGGAGAACGGGCCATGATTTTCGTGATCATACACTCAAGGGCATTTTGATTGCATTGATTTGCGTGGGCATCCAGTGTCTCCGAAAAGGGTCCAATCGGGTATCGCAAAGACTTACCATTTTGTCAACCCACGTCGTTGAATATGGGCTAAATTTTGAGGGATATGTGGCAAAATGCATGTTTGTGTATGTCCACCATTGATTAGGTTGCTCTTAAACATAAAGATACCCCGCACGCAGCATGCGGTCCTGAAATGCGAAAGATCGATCCATGCTTTCCACCCAGATGTCTTGGTACAACTACAGTCATTGACGCTTTGAATTGATGCTTTGGGGGGTTGAACACCCAGTTCCTCCTGAACATGAACGAACAAATATCACCTCCAAACCTCGAATCCCGGGCGACCAACTACTGTCAAGCCAAACCTCGCGGATTTTCTGGCGGTGATTCCTGGGTTCCCCTCAATGGGGAGGCCACACATGCACAAAGTGACATCCAAAATGTCCCAAAACAAACGCCCGGGACCCATCCAGTGTTCCCTATACTTCCTCCTTGAACATCACCCCAAAAAGAAACACGAACTCCAAAATGGCCCGCAGAGGTGATGTTTGAAACCATGGAAGGGGAAATGTGGGCTCGTCCCCTTGTTTTGGAGTTGGCAGCTGTTGTTTTTTGTTGTTTTAAAGGGGAACCAAAAGAACGCCAACCCATTTTGGGGGTCCAACCTTTAAAAAGGACACACCCAAATGAAATTCCAACCCCATTCTCTGAAAACAAAAGGGCATCATGCATAATTGTTAGGCCATCCATATTTTGTTTTGAGGAACCCTCTCATGGAGACCCCCTGAACCAAATCTCTGGAAGTTGGGAACTCACCCGACTCACGTCGACCCACCCTGAGTCGACTTCGAGCGGCGTCATCAGTGGGGAGGCGATGGAAATGCCCAGCGCCGGCACCGCGAACTTCAGGAGCTCCTCGAGAGTCACTTGCGATCGGTGCGATAGGTACCAGCAGTCCCGTACCACTAATCCCCTAGGAAACCACAAGAGATGGTCGGAATGAACCCAGGAATTGGTCCCCATGACTGGAAACCAGCAGTTGAATGGGTTCATTCCATTTCCCTGGGCAGATCACCTGGTTCCGATCGAATCAGCCACTTCAGAAGGCCCAAAGCCATGGTTGCGCAAAGCTGGGTTGGGTCGTTTGCCGTGAGCCAAGGGGGCGACAAGGTAGTCATAGCCCAGGATCATAAAGACTGAGTGGGTTCAAATCTGGGGGGTTTCAAAAGTGTTTGCGCATCATTCTAGGTTGGTTCCAGCCACGCGAACCATGGACAAATAAAAAAATACCAAGTCTGACAGTGCGGCTTTGGTCAACTCAGCTTCTGTGATACCAACGCGGGCCACTATGAACACCTGGTCGCTCACCTTGGCTCACAGAAAAAGTTCTGCCCAAACCAGTTTGGCGCAACCATGTCCTGGGGTCTACGGAAGCAGGTGACCAAACGAACTGGAAAACGAATCGGAACCCTTCCGGCGCACGCACGCCCCCTTTATTGGCCGTTTGATGTTTGATGTTCGAAGGGAAACCCGAAAAAACGGAAACAACACAAGGAAAACAAGGCACCCACGGAATCCACGGACCCGGGAAGCGAATGATGAATGGAGCCTGCCCGAGTTTAGGACGCGATTGGCAAATGAACGATTGAAACCCTGCATTTTGGAATAAGCCAAACTAGTGCCCAGCATGTCCACCATCTTTGTTTGTTGCATGGATTCCCATTTTACATGTTGGGGTTCTTTCGTTTTTTTCTGGATGAATCTTCGGAAACGCCCCAAGGTGCAACGGTTCGCGCTTCGTCCACTTCCCATGTGTCCATCTTTTTGTTGTGGACGAGGAGACACACATGGCTGTGGCTCAAATAAATGTACCAAAATGGCACCTTGGTAAATGGAACCCAAGACTAAACCTGCGTAACCCTTCTTTAATTTAGAGCCGCACCCACATCGACGGGTCTACGTGTGCGCCTGCGATTGAACCCAGTCTCCCTGCGCGCGTCTGGGCCCGAGGCTCCTTCTTTGAGGTGTCCTTGCAGAGCATCGTGCACCGATGGCCTCTGGCTGGTCCACACCTCAGGAATTTCTGCGCCCGGAGCCCCTGGTTTTGGGTGTGGGGGGGGGGGGGGGGGCTTGTGGCTTGCTAGCTTGTTGGCTAGCTTGCTTGGCCTGCTGGCTTGCTTGCTTGCTTGCTTTTTCTGTACTGTTTCTCTGAACTCGTGCCTTGTCTGAGATGTCCCTTCCATGTCAAGAGCCAATTTGGGGCGATTGGAGTTACCAAATCGAGCGTCAATGATCGACCGCCTTCAAGAAGCGGCAAGCCCAAAGACATCAGTTGGGCCGTATGACCCACGACTGAAGGTCGAGTTCTTGATCTCAAAATCCCAAAACTGTCAACCTAAAAGACGAAACTGGATCGGGCCGGCTTTTTGCGAGCAGGCCACAGGCCACAGGCCCAAGCGCAGGGGTCCTTGTGTGTTTGCTTGAAGCATGCCACCAAAAGGAGATCAACCTTAAACTTGCCAAAACGGTGATTCTAAGGTCAAAACCAAGTGCCCCTACTACGTGCCCTAAATGGTTCTGACATACGAAAGCACTATATAAGGGATATATATATATATATACATTGAATATGTAAGTCTACAATTTAGGGCACGTAGTAGTGGCACGTTTGTGCAATCAGCGCTCGGCTCATGTTGTTTTGCCCTGCGCCTGCAGTGCTTGGCAAGGGCTTGGTAAGTGAAACGCCTGCATCACTGATGTTTTAGTCCCAGAGAAGAAATTTGAGGACCCCGGAGCAGCAACCTCTCCCACAAAGGGTTGCAAGGCTTAGGCCTCCTCTCATTCTGATTGCAAAGAAAGTCTGTATCACTGGGAGCCATCACAGGGCTGTCTGGAACAAAGCAGCAATCCTCCATTGGGGCAAACTACTTGCTGGCGCTCAATAGGCAATGTGGGAACGAACCCAGGAATTGGTCCCCTTAAAGGAAACCACCAGTTGGATGGGTTTAGAGGGGTCATGCCATTGCTCATTCCCTGCCTGTCGAACCAGCAAGATTACCACATTCTGGGGGATATTTTGCACCCCACGTTTTCTTCCATGACCAACCTCTGGCCAATTTCGCACACCGTCCCACCTTGGCAGAACTGGGCCGCCATAGGCCAGCGATCCACGCGGTAGGCCAAGCGCCATGCCGCGTGTGGAGAGCTGTGTACTGGAATCTGGAATCTACTTAGCCATCACCAGGCTCTATAGAAGGGTCAAAAAAAGCTACATGTTTGATATCCCCTCATGATATGGGCGCCCACTGTTTTCCTGGGCTCCTTTTTCCTTGTGATTGTAACAGCACACACCTTGTCCGTCATATCCCATGTCCATTGTCCGTGGCTCTGGCCGCGCTCTCAAACGGCGGCGTCCAAATGGCTGCGCGATGAAGCTGAGAACAGGCCGTCGGCTTCCTTCTACTTGGATTGATTCGGTGTTCCGTCGGCCGTGATGGCCGACCTAAAGCCGCAGTCGAGCCAGGTCAAATCCGATCCAAACCGCGGATCCGCGGTTTGGCTTGCCTGAATCGGGGGCAAAATCAAGGGAGCCCTTAGTCGCTCGCTTTCAGAGGGTCCCTGTGTTGTTCTACGCGCTGGCCTGCGCTTCCAAAGCCTCCGATTTGCTCTGAGTAAAAATATTGGCGCCACACTCAGTGGCTCTTTCCCGAAAATAGAAAAGCTCTCGGCAAGCGGCCAGGGCCTTTCCGCGGGAAAAGCCTAGGGTTTCCCCCAACCTAAGGAGTTGAACCGGGCCTCCACTAGGAGGGACACGGCGCCCCAGCCTGGCAGGCAAAGGCCGGACTTCCTGTCCCCTGACTCACTCACATGGAATCTATGGGACCCGTTTTTGGGGTTCCCGTTCATTTGGCTGTGGGTCAAAAATAGATACCCAAAATGGAACGTGGTAAACAGAAACATGGACCAAAACCTGCGGTGTCGGAAACAATTGCCAGACTTGTGGCTTACCAACTTTTCCAACCATGTGCTATAGTCCAGAAACTGGGGAACGAAAGACTGGGTGAAGTAATTTGCAATTCAAGTTTATGTGCAGGATTCCACGACATCATTCGCCTGAAACAAGGAATCCCCTTCTCCGGGACCAGGCAAAAGGCTCACCCGACAAGTGACATGAGGGGCTTCTCAAACAGGGGGACTCCGGTTTGGATGTTGTTGAGGGGAACAAAACGAGGGGTCCCCAATTTGGCCGTGGGTCAAAACCCAATAAACCCCTGGTAAACATCAAAGTAGGTGGTGCATGGGTGTTCATCCGCCCCAAATGGAGGCATAGGTTGTGACCCATGGCCATTTAAGAAACACCCGCATGGCATCATAGCAGATTCATTTCAACTGGCCATCTTACATGTTTTAGAACTCTTACCGCGGTCCCTGCCCGCTCTTTCGAATGAAAGAGGCTGTTCTTCGGCTTTGTAAGCTGGACTCCCCAGTAAGGCTTTGTCAAGGGGCAGTCGTTCGGCTTCTGCGCGACCTTGCCTTGAACATTGAAGTTTCCATTTTTCACAGATAGTCGGAGCCATTTGTTGGAGTCTTAAAAGCACCGGTACATATCGTCACGCCATTCCCTTAGTCAAGCTCTTAGGGATGGGTTGTGGGGCACACTGTGTTCATCCCGCTTGAGTCCAGAATCGGAAATTGAAGGCTGCTCTTACTGCTGTTTGGGCCCCTCCACTTTTGAGCGATTTCGTCCGGGGCACGTCTCATAAAACAAACTGCCCCAAAGAACACCTATCTTTGAATTTTCCCGAATCGCGATTTCTCGGAAGGCAACAAATAGGCGCTCAAACCAAGGGCCTACATAGGCCTTTTGCAACCATTACGTCAGGAGCCCCACATTTCTGTCAGCTGAAGTTGCCTGCCGTCTTGTTCCTGGGTCCCCAAGAAAGTCCAGGCAAGGTGCGAACCGGGAACTTGAAACTGTTTACCCCTTGGGTTGCGCGGGTTGCTCCAAACTTTGGAGGCGTCAGTCCCACCCCCGAAAGACATGCCTTTGGTTGAGCATTTTGATCGACATACTCTTCACTGACTGTAGAAGCTCTCTTGAACGGAACTCGCACAGTGGGCTTAATCAAAAAATCCTTCGTGGGTTCGATGCATCATCCCAGGTAGACTTCAGCTCACGTCTACCGTGGTGTAACCCCAAACTGGAACTTTGGTAAAACCGGATTCGTCAAGTTGCATGCATGCCTCATTCTCCCTTTGGTGTACGTGTGCGAAATTTAATGGGGGACCCTTTGGTGGACATCATTTAGGAGCTTCATGTCCACCAAGCACTTTTGAGGTGGTTCCAACTCTTCAAAGTCATAGCTACATTGACCACAAAGGTCGCGTATCCCAGCTTTCCTCGGTTTAGTAACACACCCAGCGTTCGCCACGCCTTGCTCCACCAGGCAACTGGTAGGGTCATAAAGCACCCCTCAGCCGGCAGGTGGGTCTTGCCCGTGCTCAGGGGCATCCAAAGACAAAGCCAACTCCAAAATGCCTCCAGGGCACCGTTTCGCCTTTTGCATGTTCGCTGGTTTGCAAATATATATTGCGAAAGGCCTCCAGTTCAAATGAGCGGCAGCCAAACCCCGTTCACTCTTGGTTCCAAGACTAAGATGGTTCCAAGTGTTTTTATAAGTTGCGAGGGGCGGGGGGGGGGGGGGGGCGGGTGCTGCTGAAATGTGTTTTCCCAGATGCTTTCTGGTCCGGCCACAGCGTGCGGATGTTCAATGAAGCCAAGTGGCGGGCCTTGATGTCAGGTGATACATTGGGGTAACCCCTTGAGCCCCTGTTCTAAACGAAGGAAACCCACAGTCCCCCCCCCCCAAAAAAAAAAGAGCCATGACCTCAGCTGACAACCCAACTTAAAATGACATCTTCAGCGTCTCCATATTTCAAAAAAAAAACCTTGTCATGTAAAATGAGGTAATGTCCGCCTTTGACCAAACAGCTCTGCTGTTCCAGCCAAAAACTCCAGCCTTTTCACATGGAACCCTTCAACCTTCGGGGTCCCCTTAAAAGGAAGATGCTCCAAACCACCCCCCGAACGTCGAACGGTTCCCTGTGTTCATTGGTGGGGAGGGTATCCTTTGTGAGCGGTTCGGAAGCTTCAGACCTCAAAGCCAGCAGTCCCATTGCTGGGTGCCCTTCTGGAAAAATCCAAAAGTGTGACGCTTGATGGACAGGGGGCGACAGCTGGAGCTGCGGGTGTCCCATCTTTTGGATTCCATCTCCGGGTGTCCCATTGCTGAAAAATCAGCTCAGGAATCCAAAAGTGTGTGACGCTTGATTCATTCACTTGGTCGGGGGACAGCTATGAAGTGTCAACATTTCTCAACAAGCACCAATTTGCAAGGAAAAAATATCTGGCTTGGTCGCTGCCGAATGGGCTACGCGGGACTGTGCGTTCAATGCATCAAGTTGGAGTCCTTTCTTCCCGGGCCTGCTCCCAAGGTGAAGCCTCCCTCTTTAAATTCAAGTCTACTTTAGACTCATGTTCAAGTGTGTGTGCGTCTGTTTGTCTCTTGAGGATTAAAAAAAAACTTCTTGCCCTTTTTAGGAAGCCCACCATTTTGTGGGCCCGGCTAGTAGCACACGCAACCACCAAATTTGGAAGCCCAAACTGGGCCACCCGCCGCGCGCGTTGGCGCAAGGCACGCTGCCTTTCGGAGCTTTTTAGTCCTGAAAGTTGGGTGACAAACAGGTGCTGAGGGTACCCTCTTTTCTTGGTTGACGTTGGAAGGAGAGCAAGCTTCTCAAATCTTAGCAGTTCAGTGGTTGGATCTTAACCACTCAACCACAACAAGGGAAACCGAGAAGGAACACCTGCCAAGAGCGGAGGTCCCCTACAAGCGGCCTGAAATATGGCTCGACGCATGCGAGGCACTTCGAAGGGATCTAGCGGGATTTCAATGCGACATGGCTCTCCTTGAACTCTGAGCGCCCAAACCCGGTGACTTGGGTTCTACATCGTGAGGGCTTATATGGCTGTGGGTCAAAACCCAGGAAACCCCTGGTGAACATCAAAATGGGTGGTAGATGGGTGGTCATCCGCCCCAAAATGAAGCATAGGTTATGACCCATGGCCATATATGAGTCTGACTGTAAACCTCGTGCCAGGAAAAGTAATCTACTAAGATGGCCCTGTTGCGGGGGGAGGGGGTCAAGTCTATAATATGTAGAGAAGAAGCAGAGGTCGGCTCTCCACCATTTCCCTGCACGAGAGACTGAAACAAAATGGTAGATCATGGGCACCTGGATTGTCCACCTCATTACCCACTTCATCAAAGCCAGGATCAAAACCAGGTTGCTGACATTCGACCCGAGCAAATGGGTATAAAAACTTGGGTCCATGGTTTCTCAGAAATAAATAAATAAATTAATATATATATATATACAATATTTAAAAAGAGTTCACATAGACACATAAACTTTCCTGCCCAAATCGTCCGTCTTTTAGGAACGGCTCGGGGCAACCAACGTAGAGGATTCCAGGGAAAGGCGATCCAAAGCACAAGCTGTTCTAAGCCCCGGCCCCGCGACCTGGCGCTGAGCACTTAAATCATGAGGCTGTGGCTCAAAAAACCGGTACCAGAATGGAACCCTGGTAAGTGGAAACATGGACCAACACCTGCGTAATCCCTCCTGTTTAATTTTGAGCCACACCCATGATGCGCAATTTGAGGTGCAGTAGCAACATGAAACTGCGTTGGGTTTGATCCAGATTGATCCAGCATGAAACTGGATCCTTGTGTAGTCCTTCCGTTGGCGCAGTTTGCAGGCATGCATGGAAACAACATGGGAGGTGACGAACCAACATTTTGCAGCACGAATCACCTGACATCACCAAGAATGACTTCCCAAGCCCAAGAATGACTTCCCAAGCCCAAAATATTGTGGTTGACTGCTTCTGACTGGAACCCGTCGATCTGGTCTCCCCCCGATCCAACCGGGAGCCTGCCTGACATCCCCACAGGCAGCACCTGGGAACTTTGGCGTCCGAGATTGGCTCCCCTTGGCTGTTGAAAACCACAAAAGCATGCGACAAGTTGAAAGGAAATCATGTTCCCCAAAAAAACAACAGGGTTCTTCCAATTTCTAGCTCGACATGCATAGTCTTAGAATGAACTTGTTTGGTGCCATCACTCAAAACGATGGTCGCAGGTTGAGCATCCCGCTTCTGGTTTCAGGGGGACAACTTACCCAACAAAAAGGTCACACCTGTTTTCCCTTGGCTTGTTGTGCAATTTGTCATCTCTGGCTCATGCCCAGCAGTGAACGGGGGAATTATAACCGCAACATGGATGGGTTCCTGTAAAGAGCATGGTCGAAGTCGTGAGTTCCCCTTGCATCACTCGAGTCCCAGCTTGGAGGGTTCCTCCCGTTTGGTACCCGGGAAAGGAAAGGATCGCAACTTAGGCTCGGCGCAGAGAATGTGTTCTTCGCTGTCACAAAATGGACCCTGACAGCTTCGGGAGCCCCGAAACCCGCAAGAGAGCAAGAAAGAGAGAAGGGGAGGGGGGTGGGGCTGCAAATACCGTCAAAAACTGCTGTGCTGAGCGGTGGGCTGTTGTTCTGTCCGTTTTGCTTTTGCTGTGGCTGGCTCGCGTGCTGCGCGGTCCTTGCTTTTTTCGCGTTGGTTTTCGGGCCTTTTGGCGCGCGACCCCAGCCACAAAACGCTGCTATTTACGGTGTTGTGTTGCTTTTGCGTTTCCGGGCTGGCTTGCGGGCTGTTCTTTTTGGGCTGCTGTTTCTGCGGCCTCTGGCGCGCGCGCGCGCGCGCGACCCCATGTGAGCCTTCTGGTGTGGGTCCTGGCTAGGGCCCAGAAAGCTGGCATCCCTGGCATCATCTGGGGTTGGGGTGGGCAACAGGCATAACCTAACCAGCCATATCATAGCACAGGATACGTTTCTCATACAAAAAACATGACATGACATGGTATAACTTCAAAGAGGCGTAGCCGGCTAGAGGCCGCAGGCCCAGAAAATAATTGGTGCCACTGAACAACTGAGATCCACCCTGGTAAATGGAACCAAAGACTCAAACCTGCCGTCTGGATTAATTTTGACCCACAGCGACATCCCACTTGAAAAGACGACGCCCAGCCCCAGGCGCCGCCACCGCGCGACCGCGGCTTTGGGCGCTCAGCGCCCGCAGCCACGCGCCCGCGGAGCGCCCGCGGCTCGGCGCGCCCGAGGCGTCGAAGAAGGTCTCGTCCGGGTCGGCCGTGGCCGAAGCGGCCTGAAAAGCGGGGCGCGATTGCAGAGGAGAAGGCAGGCAAAAGCAAAAAAGTTAGGTGTTTCTCTTTTCTGTTTTTGAGGAAGAAAACGGAAAGAAAAAGATGCAAAGATAGGGGGTGTTATTTTTTGAGGCTTGGTGTGAAACTGCATTGCCCAATCCCTTGATTGGGCAACGTGCTCACGACAAAGCAGGAAGCACAGGGGCCGACGTTGCAGTGAATACAGAAACACCCGACGAATATAGGGACGTGGGTGGGAGCCAAGGTGGTCGCAGACACAGAGGAGAAATAGCGCGTGACCACGCGCTGGTTGGGACACCAGGCTGGGGCATCCACATTGGTAGGGCTCGTCGACGAGGACGACCCTGGGACATGGTAGCATCTGCCCCAAGAAGGACAAGCCAACTCTTGTTGCAGGTCAAGCGTTGCCTGAACACACACACGTGTTCGACGCGTGTGCTGCGAGATCGATTGCCAGCTTCTCGCAACATGAACTCAAGATGGATCGTGTGCCTCGTGTTTGTAAGGCTAGGGCACGCCCTGAAGGTATCCACAAACAGTCCAACTTTGACTCGCTAGGGTCGCATGCTGTCCCTGCGCAAAATCGCACAAAGCCATTGGGTATTAATCAGCTTTGGCATTTTCCGCCGTCTTCCTGCGAGATTGTGGCGATGGTCAGCTGGGCATGAACCCACCTGGCTGAACTCAGGGCTAAGATGGGACTTCAAACAAAGTCGACCGACTTGTCGCGCTGTTTTACAAGGAATTGAAAAGTCGGTTGGAACGCTTGGGCTTCACACACCTCATCCCCTGGATGGCTGCCTTTGCCTTCGTGGGAACTCTCAAAACCCTGAGAGACTCTACGGAAGACTCGGGAGTCATGTGAGCAAATGAGGGGATTGCAGGAGGGAATCAACACTCAGAAAGGTCGAGGAATATGAAAGTAGCAAACTACATGAAACAGTTTCCGGACTATTCGGTCAAAAGCAGCTAATCCGAGTGTGTGCATCGAATTTCGGTATCCACAGCCATCATGCTAGCCGACTGCTTGACGACAAAACGCGGCCTTTCTTAGGTGAACGATCCAACAGGGGCGATTCAATATGATGGCGGAGTGCTCAATCAGAAAAGAACACTGCTGCGTGTGAATCCGGATTCCCCAATCCTTTGATTGAGCAATGTGTTCACAACAAAGGAGGAAGAACAGGGGCCAAGGATGCAGTGAATACAGAAACACACGAAGGCTGACGGCTCCAAGTGGACGTGAGCGGGAGCCCAAATGCTTGCGGACATGGAGGAGAAATAGCGCGATTTACAGGCGTGTGTGGTTTTATTTAGGAAACCAAAAGGAAAACCGACCCATATGTAGGGAACAAGTGGGGAAGTAGGATAATATGCAGGGAACAAGCTGCAACAATAGGCAGATTTGCCGGACAACGTCCCACCACCAATGTCCGCCATGCAAATCCAAGACTATTCCTTGTAGATAAGCTGTTGGTGGGACAGGTTACCCTCCGACATCAATACATAACACGGAACCCGACTGCGGGCCGTAAGAAGCATCTTCCAAAACCATCCTTAAATTCCCTGCGAGGGTGCCTCTAGTTTGAGGCTAATTACCCACCTTCTGTGGCATTTATAGAGGGAAACCCAAAACCGAAATCCATCTTCTTGGTTGACGTTGGAAGGAGAGCAAAAAAATGAATTTTAGCAGTTCAGTGGTTGGATTTCAACCACTAAACCACAATAAGATCAAAAATGGGAAAAAGATTTCCCGTTGCGACAACCATGTATTTTAGGGGGTCCGGCCTCCGCCCATCCCACGGCTCGTCCCCCCCGTCCCGCGCCTCGCAGAGCCCGTGGCGCCTCCTCGGCGCGGCCGCGCCGCTGCCAGCCACCGCGGCGCCGTCCAAGAGGCGCCGGAGCCGGGCGCGGAGCGCCGGGCCTGGCGAGCGGCGAGCGGCGACCTCCGAATGCCCCCGGCCCGAAAATCCGTTGAAATGAAGATAGGTATGGCACAAAGATCTATATGTAGGAGCGTGTGAATACGTATAAGCATATATATATATATATATATATATAAATATGCTTATCTATTTTGACGTATGCGCGTCGTTCACTCAGACACGCCCCGCTATGTCGTCAAACGTGTACAATATGAATGTGTACACCACTTGTCGTATACGCATCTGAGGATCAAGCCCCGGATTGCCCAAATGCACGAGCAATTTCTGGGCTGCAGCCATCACTGCTGTGTGGAAGGTGGGGTCGGGCAATATGTGTACGTTCAGAACTACTTGCTCCTTGGCCCGGCATCTCCTTGCACGGAAGCGAGGGCGGACAAAACCCAGGCTGGGATGCCGCGCCAGCTGCGCTGAAAGTGCACCGCATAAGAGAGAACCGCTCTGAAAATCTTAGCATCTTACCTGCGCTGGGCCTTGAAACTCCGCGAGCCTGGCAAAATTACACCGACATCTCGCGGAGCGAATTCGGAGCCGGGCGGGCTGGTGGTGTGCCTGCGGCGAAAGAAGCAAAAAAAAGGCGCCTGAGCGTGCATAATACATATATATATATATATATATTATTATGTATACACGACATGGTTCTATGCATAATTACATGCCCCTTTGTGTGTCCATCTCACCGTGTCAAACGAATAGTGTGCTCGTCGTCGGGACCAAGCTGAGTTCAACTCCGGTGACCTCGCCACAAACATACCGGCAACAGCTACGGCTGTTTGGGCCCGCCATGTTTGTCTGAAACTCGGATTCAAAGGCGCCCGGAATCCGGGCAACTGAGCGACATGGTTCTGCGCTTTTTGCTTTTTCTGACGTTTGGTTGTGTTTTGGTCTTCGAACCCCCCCCCCAGGGAAAAAACACGGCTAAAAGGCATGATTGTTTTTCTTCTGCAAGAACCGCACAGGTGCAGTCCATCAGTATTACCCCTTCTGTAGGTTAAAAACGGGGAAGTTCTAAGAAACCGGTCACTGTGGGAGGCGGATGCTTCTTGGGGCTGACCCCATTTACATACCCTCCCACCAACTAACATGGAGCCTGACGTTTTGGGGTCCCTTTGAAAGGAAAAATGGTCCAAACCATGAAATTCCGAACGTCGAAGGGTTCCATGTTTGGTGGGAGGGTAGCTGTGGTTACCTTACCAAAACCGAGCGAAATGCGATCCGATCACCTGGAGCTTTCAGCAGCACAGGCAGAGCCTTGAGACTGGCCTGGCGGAGGGGTGCGGTGGATGGGCGATCGATACGTCAGGGAAGTGGGTAGTAGCCATGGTGGAACAAAACACAAAAGCCATGGTGATAGGTCTTCATTCAGTGGGTTACCAGGCAACCACTTACTAGGTACTGCCCTTTAAGGAGGGTTGGGCAGCGATGCGATGGAGGGTTCCGGGAAGTCTCATGGACGCCTGGATTTTGTATCTACCAAATTGATCGAATGTCCGGAACCCAGGATCGGGTTCCACGGGAAAGGTTTCACCAGGCGAGCTCCGTAGAACCTGGCCATTGCAGCCACCGTCCGACTCGGTTGTTTTCTGCTCCCCTGCTGAAAGTTTTTTTTTTTTTCTTTTAGTGGTTTAATACGGAAAACCCATCAGTTGGCAAAAAGTTAAAGTCCTCACAGCCCTTGGCAAAATGCACCAAAGGAGTCCTTCGGGAGATAGGTTTCCTTGGGCTGGCTGTGCTCGAAGTCCGCAAAGGGGCAGCATTCTTCACGCACGCCCAGGGGGGCTGCATGGTACAGTGGCAACCAAGCCCTCGTTCCACCCCAAACTTGGGCGTCTTTTCGGAAACCTATTTTGGAAATGCCCAATGGGAAAGCACCTAGATGCCCTGATATTAAAAAAAAAAAAGAGGTACAAGCCAGTGCTTTGGAAAAAGAAACATGGATGGGTTCCACTGGTAAAGGACACGCATGGACAATCTCCATTCCTAAATGGAAGTCATGAGGGCCCTTGGTAGATGATAGGGTCTTGGTAGATTCTCTGACTGGCCCAAATGTATCCACCTTGCTCGTTTTCTTTGTGTGGGCGGCATGCGGAACTTGCCCCCTCCAAACCGACCAACATTGTGATATCAAGGTGCTCCGTGCTTACAGTTGTGTCACCAAGAAGACTCATCTACAGAAAATGGAAACCAAAAAAAAAACACCACTTCCAGAACCTTGGAGATCCAGTTGGACCCCACACAGCCAATGTGAACATAAACCCTGCGTGCACCCGCCGAGCACAAAAGCGACGGCCACGAAACAAGATGACCAGCGCGACTTCTTGCGGACCTCGACCTCTGGGTTTCAACTAAAGGGAGTGGCTTTTGAGGGTTTTCACCTTTTCACCCTAAACAATGAAGAAACACCGCTATTTGGGGATGCTTCGATTTTTTGAACACATCCCCACAATGACATGTTTAGGGGTGGAAAATCCATGTCAAATGTCTGAACTTGGGGTGGGCAATCCGTGGCGAATGTCCCAAGCCTCCTTTTCCGGTTTTGGGGGTGGAAGATCCAAACCTCCTTGCTCTTCCTTCCCGTAGAGCTGGCCTCATGTTACCATGATCAAAGTCACCTTCACCAAGCGGCGGGTGAGAGAGAAACAGCCGATTCCATTTTCTGACTTTGATAACCCCCAGAAACCGAACCAAACAAATTTGACAGAAGAGGTCAAAGGTCCGGGCGGCTCCTGTTGACCGGATGGACGGAATCCATTTCGCACCACTGTGAACCCATGGTTGCAACTGAAACCATTGTTTGTGGGTATTTACAGGGGACTCGAAGCATTCCAGAAAACTCTCAGGTGGTGCGAAAATGGATTCGCAACCAGTATGGCCCATCCGGGCGCCTGGAGGGCGGCTTTGAGAGCGTCCAAGTGCCGCTGCAGCAGGCGAGAGCTTTGCAACAGCTCACCCAGGGCCTGGCGAATCCGGGGGTTGCGGGGGGGGGGGGGGGGGTGAGTGTGTCCGGTCATTGGGGGACCCTCGGTAATTCGGGGTGAACAAGAAAACATATGATACAAAAAAGAACATACAAAGATAAAACAAAAAACAAAACAATATGATAATTACAAGAAACAATGAGAAAACAAAAATAATGCTACAGAAAGATGTGTTCACTGAAGTCAGTCTATGGCTGTCAAGTTCTCATAACTCTGATCACCGCTTTCTTGTCCTCTGGCAGTTTGCTCTCCAGCATGCCGCACAATCGACACGCAAAGTCTGAGTGAAGGCCCTGAGTATTTCGACGGATATTCTGGCTTGGGGCACGCGAGTTCTAAAAAGACACCTGCTTGGAGGCTCCGATTCTTTGGTTTTACCCCACATTGCACCATGCGGGGGCTTGGGCCAGAGGCCCGTCATAGAAGCCCCCGCAAAAAGATGCCGCCTTTGGGGTCCAGGGGGTCATTGGGCTCAGACAATACAACAATCAAATTGTTGGCCCTGCCGAAACATTAGCTTTGCCATTGACCGAAACAAGCCTTGAAATGCTTGGAAAAGTCGATAACCTTGGGCAAGATTTCGGTGGTCGGCTGTTTGCTGTCAACGTCTACTCCGCACAACCACAAATCAAACGTTATCAAGGATATGGGAATGTGTCAAAATAGGGACGCCAAACTTGCAATTTTCCTGTTGGTATCCAATTCAATCCACAATCTTTCGAGAGAACAGGGCCGTTTCAACAATACAAATACAACATACCGAATCGTATCCTTGCGTATTGCGAGCTATCGGTATCGAAAAGCAAGTATCGCAGCCTGAAATCGTATCGAATACTATCGCTGGAAGTCGTTTTGAAGCATACCGAGTTCAAATCTAACCCAACAATTCCCCGAGAGGGACGGCTCAGGACCATAGTTCACAAACCGGAAAGAATAAATTGTCTAATTTCTTGTTTTGTTCCCGATCGCGGTAATTGGGGCGCAGATGCATGACCATGCACGCAAACACGCAGAAAATTCTTGGGCAGTGTGTGTGTGTGTCTGTGTCTTTTTTGGGAGTACCCCTTTTTGCAGTGGCTCTTTTCGGGAAACCAAAAGGAAAACCACAAGGCTTTTTTGGAGAGGGGTCCCACCTCTATAAAAGACGAGCCACCCAAACAAAAAACGAAGGAAAAGGGACAACAGGGCAATAGGGAATGAGCCAATGACCCGAGATAGACCATCCAACTGGTGGTTTGCTTTAAGGGGACCAATTCCTGGGTTCATTCCCACACTCCCTATCGCACCAAGTTAGGTCTGCAGATGACGCGGAGACGCGTCGGGCCGAGCTGCGCCTCCGGCGACTCGTCGGGGGAAGAACTCTTCGCCGCTGCCAGGTGGCCATCCACCTCGGGGAAGCCTGAGCGAGGCCCGGATGGACCTTCCAGGTATCACAAGAAAAGACAAGGGGTCAAAAAAAAACATGTGGGGTTGCGGGGTACTTGAAAACCAAACTTAGTCGTATGACCATGGAAGTGATGGTTTAGAAACTACGCCAGGCCTTGTATTCCAAGACGAAGGGAGAATCAGGTACCTGTGCCTTAGAGCAAGCCACTGCTCCGCTGCAAAGCAACGAGGAACCTCGAGGGACCATCCAATTTTCTGGATGTCCCCACAAAAGAACGGAACTCCAGAGGACACCTCCTGCGTCAATTTTATCGTTAGTCTGGTCGGTTGGCCCCTTTTGGCTCCTTGATTGGACCTATCCTCAAGGTCTTTCGCATTTTACCCTCCCAGCAATCCTCACTATCGCGGCCACTTGGCAACAGGACCCAAAGAACAACAGATTCCGGCCCAACAGAAAGTCTAGTCTACTTAAAGGTGCAGAGTGCTTGGTGAGTGGCTAGTAAGCCTGGTTGTAACCCACCATCTTAAGAGACTTATAACCATGGCGTTTGTGGGCTATAACCATGGTTATTACTCACTTCCAAAGTACCCGATCACCCCTTTAAGTTCTATATTTTCAAACACTTCAACTCCTGACTAGGTCCTCCAGTAGAGAGGTTAGACTAAGGGCACCAACTCTTCTCTGTACTCTATTTTACTCGAAGTTTTCCCAAAACCAATCCAAAAAAAAAAAGCCGTATATTTGTTGGCAAGCTGGGACCTAGAGGAGTAGCTTCAAGTGGCCCGGAAGCTGCAGCTCCAGCTCCGTAAGCTGCGCCGCCTCCCGCAGCCGCGCCGCCGCCTTCTCCGCCGCCTTCTCCGCGCTCCGCGCAGACGCGGGCGAAGACCCCGGGGCGCCTGCGGCGCAGGCGGCGCTGAAGAGCGCCTGGCGAAGTTCGGGGACAGCTGACACCCGGAAACGCGTTAAAATCCCATGGAGCCGCAGTGCATGGTCAAGGCCTCTCTTTTTGTTTGGCCTCTCCTACTTGGACATTTCGACTCGCGCCTGCTTGAGGCTGATGAATTTCAACTGGCTGTTCTCGCATCTGTCAGAGACGTGTGGCCAATGCTTTCTCAGTCATAGAGAATATGCAACTTGGCTTGCTCTTGTCCGCTCTGGTTGAATCGCCACGCTCAAGCTGAATTGCCAACTAATTGAAATCGAAGCTCGAATTGAATCACCAACTATTGAAACTTAGCGCTGACACCCTGAAACTCTGGAATCCATGGAGACCGCAAATGGTCAAGGCTCTCCATCTCCTAGTGTCCCAACCAAGAGTTGGAACCTCTTCAAAGTGGAAAGGACCATGTGTGCCCCCAAGGGTGTACGGCTTTGCGGGCAGGGGTGGCAATCCTTTGATGCAGGGTTCCTTGTTTGGGTTATCCATGTTATGCCGGAAAAAAAATCCGGCCCACCCTGCTTTGGGCTGGCTTTGAAAAAGAACCGGAAAAGCAAGCAGCAAACCTTACCAATTTTGGGGTGCCCTTTTGAGCCAATTTGAGGCTTCGCAGGTTTTGATGCGAATTGAACAGTTGGGCTGCCATGTTTTGTCTGATTTCGGTTTGAGATACTTTTACAGTGAGTTCGTGGGTGGGTTTAAGGTGGGTTTAGGGTGCGTTTAGGGTTGGTTTAGGCTGAGTTTGCTTCGGGTTGGTTTAGGGTAGGTTTAGGGTAGGTTTAGGGTTGGTTTAGGGTCTGGAAGGGTTTAAGGTACGTTTAGTTGGTGTTGGGTTTTAAGGTAGGGTAGGTTTAGGCTAGGTTTATGGTGGGTGTCGGCTAGGGAATGCTTCAGGGTTGGTGTAGGGCTTAGGGGGCTTCAGGGTAGGTTTAGTGTTGGTTTCGGGTAGGTTTGTGGCGGGTTTCGGGCTTTGTGGGGAGGTGACGGTAGGAGGGTAGGTGTAGGTAGGTGGTTTAGCGCATTTAGGGTATCGAGGGGGTTAGGGTGGGTTGGCGCTCCCTCGCTCGCTCGCCCGCCCTTGCCGCTTTGTTTTTTTCAGGGGGCTGGAAAGAAATATATCTGAAGCCAACGGGAAAAATAACCCTAAAAAATATAGAGCTCCCCTTTCAATGGAGAGCCCTGTGGTGGACATCATCTAGGAATTCATCGTTGCCAATCATTTACCCCCTTTCCACAAATAACCTTCCTGTCAACTTCCATTGGCAAGAGGGTAGGGCTGTGCCCCGACAATAACTCATGGTGGCTGGGGGGGGGAGGAGGGGGGAGCCCAATTAAGCCCCTAAGGCTTGTAAGCGGCTAAATTTGAATTTGGGCTCCCTCCCCCTCGTCCTCCCTCCCCCCAAGCCCCCATGAACAACAGGTTGCACAACCCCTTAGGGCGGGGGCAGGAAGGACTGGGAGAAAATCCAAATAAGCCCCTAATAATAAGGCTCAACAAAATAACACAACCTCTTAAGGGGGGGGGGAGGGGGGGGAGGACTGGAGGAAAATTTTCTGTGGGCCCTCCTCCCTCCCCTCAGCCAATGACTCCGATGGCCTGCACTTCTCCGCCGAAGCCCAGAAGGTCGGAAACCAGCTGCTGCGCCGTCAAGGCCACGAGGCCTCGGAGGAACGAGAAATTCCGGATGCCGAACACCACGGGTTCTCCAAAACTGGGGGGGAAGGGCGCTGCAAAAGGGTGCAGTCCCTCTAAAAGGGTAGAAAAGGGCACCCTGAAACACGCAAGCACACACACACACACAAGTAAACAAGCACTCACAGCACACACACACACACAGACACACAGACACACAGACACACAGACACACACCCACACGTACACACACGTACACACACGTACCCACACGTACCCACACGTACACATGTACACACGTACACACGTACACACGGCACAGCACACAGAGCGAAGCAGAGAGAGCACACACACACACAAAGCACATTCCACACAGCACACAGCACACAGCACACAGCACACACGCAGTTATAAACACTTTGGTATCACGGAAACTGTGCCCAAAACCAGATGTTCCACGACCATGACGATCAGTAGGCGCCTTCAGTACCAGGTACCATCTTTGACTGCACAGCTCACCCGTTAAGTTGCTCAAGAGGAGTTGACCTCCCAATTGAAACAGTGAATATGTCTGCTGTTCTACTTTCCCGCAAGCTTCAGAAGATAAGTTGTGTCTCGCCCAAAAGCCAAATCCTGAATCAGCCCCTTTTGAACCCTTGACACCCATTTGAATTCCAGAACTTGATGTAGGGTGCCCCTCAGTATTATGTGTGGAAGGGACACCAAAGGCAACCAATAATCCATTTGAGTCATCCAAACCTGTGGCAAACAGGAATTCTTGACCTATTAGCATGTATGGTTGAGACTGTCCCTGAGTATCCTTCATCTACCCAGGTTTTGATTGTGGTGCATTCAGAAAAATTCAACCCAAACCCCCACGTGGAACACCGCACTCTCAAACCCCCTCACCTCCGCTCGCCGCTCCCAGCTCCCAAACCTGCAAGCTCCAACCTCCCCCATACCTCACCCCTACCACCACTTCCACCCCCCCAAAACAAAATCCTCGCCCCTACCACGACTTCCACCACTTCCCCCCCCAAAAAAAAAAAATCGACTTCCACCCCCCCCAAAACAAAAAAACGACTTCCACCCCCCCCCCAAAAAAAAATAACAAGCAAAAAAATCCGGGATCCCACCCCCCCCCCCCCCAAATATCCCGGGATCGGCTTCGAGGGGCCGGAGCTGAGGCCCTTCGGCCGCGGCATGGAGCTCAGGTCCTGGGATCGATCTTGGGACGGAGCTCCTGTCCGCTTAGGGAAAAGGCCAGCCCGGCTTCACGGCTCAGGAAAAGCCGGCGGCCGCGAGAGCTAGGGAATAAGAAAGGGAATGACCTTCAAAAAAAAATAGGTTGCGGCCAAATTTTGGATGGAAGGGTATGATTGGAATGAGCCCGTCAACCATCCAACTGGTGGCTTCCCTTTTGAGGGAATCCCCTTCCGGTTGATTCCCAACCCGCGGAAGGGTCATTCCCGACTGAGCACAAGCAAGTTGCACGTATGCTACAAGAGAGCGCTCGTTTGGTGGAATCCGCAGCATGCAGTCTAGATTGGCACTGTAACCATGATTAGGGACTAATACTTGGAAGCCTGTAACCATAAGGGGAAACCCACCTAGTTGATCTAACCATGGTAAGGGGACCCCAGTTGCCCAAGTTATAGCCATGGTTGTAGCCTACTTTGTCAGTAAGCTAACTTGCTGCTCTTTGAACGAAGGAAAACCTAAAGAGCCTTCAACAACTAATCGGCACATATTACCCTAATTCCAGCATTCATGGAAGTGGGTGCAAGGCTTCAACATGACGGTCTGCCAAAACCGCCATGGTTCTGGAAATTGGGAATTTCCGGCGTATCAATAAAAGGAACCTGCTTCTTCGGTTCGGAAAAATGGATCTCTTACAAGGAGCGTTCCTTCCGAAAACCTCCCGGAGAGTAGCTACTGATTTAGGAGAGTCAACCCGTGAGTTGGGAATCGAGATCAAATCACCCTTGTGAGGGTCCTATTGAGAAATCCATGCAAACCGGCAAAAGAACACGCCAAACTTACCCCTGCAAATTGACACGGCAACAGAACCCCCACCCCAAAGAAAAGAAAATACAAAACACAGAAAACAACAATAAAACAACATAGACTAAAACAAAATAATATCAGACAAGGTGGTATCCCCAACATCCCTGGAACCCAGAACCCTCCGTGAAAGCTGCCCCAAACCGCCCCTTATCACCTATCTGGGTCGATCGACCCCGTCCTTTTAGGGGAAATACATGGCCCTGGTAGATGATTAAACCACCAGGTAAACCAGGGCCATCTATTTTTCTAAGCAAAACAACCAAAAGGACACCTATGACCCCATGGCTTTCAGCTGAGGAAAAAAGCACTCGTGTGTGAAGAACCTTTTTGCAGAGTCCCTTGTGGGGGTGCCGCTTGAGCTTCTGCCCCCTTTTCAGGCAGATGTTCAATTCTTAGACATGGCCCCAGAGGAAATTGCCTCTAAATGGAGCCCAAAGGTCAGATTCTTGCTCTTGGGGAACCCTTTTTGATTGGGTTTGGGACATTAAAAAGAAGGAACCAATTTCGCAAATTTTGGCTTGGTGCGTTTCCTGATTTGAGACACAGACACACACAGACACTTGTGTCTTCTTTAGAGAACCCCCCCCCGGAGCAAAATGAAAGGAACAGCTCCCTTTTGGTGTCTCTTTTCAACCACGAAAAAGTCGTACCCTAAAGAGACACAGCTGCATCACTTTAGGGGCCTTGCACGTCGGAAGCTTCCCACTCCTCGAAGAGGCCCGCAAAGAGTGACTGCAGGTCGTCCCCAAGCCTCGGAACTCGCTTCGGCCCAACACCCTCTTTGCAAACAAAACACCTGCCCAAAAGGTCCCGATGACTTGCCCCAAAGAAGCAAGTCAAAGGCTTCAAAGAGGCCCCAACTTCAACCTCGGTTCTAAAGAAACATCTTCCCTAGCCTCGTCAGGCAAGCAGGTTGCCATCGTGGTTACATGTGGTTACAAGGAAACTAACCCTAGTCACCCCTGCTATATTTATCGTGGTTAGCTGTATACTTTATAAATTTTTGAAACAACCAAGAAGGACTTGGTGGATCAGCACCGCCCCATTGTGGGTTGGATTGTGGGTTGCGGAACCCCACTGAGCCAAGCCCACTTGAAGGTTCAATCCACCTAGTAGGTGATAGCTTAGAGACACGCTAAGGGGACTAACCTTAGCTACCCAATGACCATGCGTCTGCACCCACTTACCTGACGTGGCTTGAACATGAAAGCAACATAAAATGAGCACAGGTGTCCTTTGTCCAAAATAAATGACCTTCATGTAAACCAGGAATCGCCCTCCATTGTTCCACCAAACCAGCCAAAAAGGACACCAAGTTGAAAATGATTGGCAGTCGCAAGCGAGCTCCTCTCATGGGTGGTCCAGCGTTCGCCGTCCCTTTCTTCTGTGGCTTGATTTGCGTCTGACTAGAAGACACATGGCCCGAAAACATAAGTTACAAAGTTGCAGGCAAGAGCATGAACGGACAGGCAAATCAATCGCACAATTCTTTTGCCCAAGTCTTTCTTTTCAACTGTTTCTGTGCAAGTTCTTTGCGCTTGCACAAGTTTCTCTGTGCAAGTTTCTCTCTGCAGGTTTGTCTGCGCAAGTTCTCTGCTCAAGTTTCCCTGTGCGAGTTGCATTGCGCATGTTCTCTAGAAAAGTTTCTCGGCGCCAAATAGTTCTCTGTGCAAGTTCCTCTCTGCAAGTTTCTCTGTGATAGTTTCTCTGAGAAACTTCTCAGTGCAACTTCTCAGCGCAGGTTCTTGTGCAAGTCCAGTGCAAAAAATCCGGCGGATCACACGCCCTTTGCGACGATTTTCGGGGAAAAGGGCAGACATGACCAGTTTCCTTCAAACTTAGCGAGGACAAATACCAACCTCACCTTCAGCAAACCACGTGCTTACAGAACTGGTAGCCTCCTCCCACGGCAAATTCTTCCGATCTCCGCGCCGATTTCTTTCGGCTCCCTTCCACAGCCTCTCCCCAGGGCCACCTCTTGCAGCTGGGGGCATCTGCTGCAGCCGCGCGCAGGGGGAGTTCGCCAGGCGCCAGCCCACGTGCGCCGAAGCTTCCGCAGCCACCGCCGCGGCGAAGAGGGGCAGCAGCAGCGCCATGGGATGGAGCGGAGGGATTTGTCAGCGGGGTTGCGGTGGGGGCGATCCATGGCAGAAAAAAATCTGGGAAGTGGTGGGGGAGAAAAAAGAACCAAAGCCGTTCTCAGTTCAGTGGGGTTAAATCAGGCTATACGTCAGGTGGTGGCAAAAACCAGCACCAAAGCCGTTCTCAGTCTGCCCCTTTAAGCGGCAATCACTACGAGTCTTAGCAATCCAGGAAAGCAACGGATTTCCCCGTCGAGAACCGCTCCTGTTGCGTTGCTCGGCGCCTCTGGAGGATTCCTGATGCTGATGTGTGATGGGTCTCTGACCCAAACGTGTGAAACTCATGTCCACCACTTAGGTGAATTCCCATCGAAATTCATGGCCATGGATCCAAACCAAGCATGGATCCAAACCAAGCGCAGTTCTTGTGAAAGGACTTGGGGTTTTCACCCCAATTTCGGCAGGATTTCCTGTAGAAAGAGCTCCTTTTGGTACTTGGCCTTTCGGTCTGTTTGAAGGGGGCGACCCCTACAAACGAAACTGGAAGTGCCCCGCCCCGTCCCGGGCGATGAAACCGGTAAAACCAACATGAACTGGTCAAACCTGTTTCGAGGCCGGCGGAGGCGTGGCAGGTGTGTCTTTCTTGGAGGGTGCCGATTCTATGTGGTGACTTCAAGGGAACTCAGAAACCCATCTGTGCATACAAGAGCAAGGTTGCCGGGAAACCCCAAGAAGCGTGCCAAACAAAGGAAATCTGCAATGCTTACTATAGTTCCAAAAGCTGAACTAAGAATTGGATCCGTATCATGGTGGGCTCGCTATACTCAAAACTAGGGACCAATTCCTCGGCTTTTCCCTGACTTTGAGAAACTCCCAAATCTCTTCGAATGGGTGTGGCTCAAAATTAAAGAGCTAGGGTTACGCAGGTTTTGGTCCATGTTTCCACTTACCAGGGTTCCATTTTGGTCCCGTTTTTTTGAGCCACACTCAAATGGGTATGGGTCAAACTCAAACTACCAGGAATCGGACCGCAGGTTTTAGTCCATGTTTCCGTTTGCCAGGGTTCCATTTTGGGGCTACCCTATTTTTGACCCACAGCCAAATGGATGCCCGCAACCGGTTTTGGACCCTCAAGATTGTCCGACCGATGCCAAGCTTCGAGCAGACGGAATACAATGGATCGGCATCTCCAGAAACGATCTGCATCCTTACCCTCCCACAAGAGATATGGTGTTAGGGGTACCCTTCCTCCTTCTTTCCAAAGATCCTTCTTTCTAGAACACCTCCAGACACCCAGCCCAGGGCAAACGCCTGGTTTTGAAAAAAAACGATGCTTGAAAAGAATGGTATCGGAATCAGCCCCTGGAATGGTGGGAAAGTCCATCTCGCATGGAGGCTAATTTACAAATCCAAGGACCTCCATCCGTATCACTGAGCTCGTTAGCTTCACGCCCGGTTGCTGAGCCCCCCAAAATCCGCGCAACTCATGCATATTTGCCGACTTGAAGCATGCATCAGTCACTTATCGTCACCAAGCATTCCCCTCAAAGCCAAGTTGTAAATATGGAAAAACTACCTTCGGCAACAGTTATGATCATCGGCTTTCATTTGTTTAGAAACCCTCAGAAGACTGCGGGGCCCAAAACTCAAACCTTGTGTGGCTTCCCTTTGAGACGTCCACAGCCAAAAATAGACCTCACTCCGAAGCCATACTTCCTAAGGATCCTTGAGATGGGCATGCTCCCCTCCCCCGTGCCCTTTGTCCTTTCTAGGGGATACAAGCCTGTTTAAGAGGCGTCCGATGCTTGGGAATATGTTTCTTTATGTATGTGTATGCTGGTTGCACGTGTATGTGTGCATGTGTGTATATGTATGTGTATGGGTATGGGTCTGGGCATGGGTATGGTGTGATATGTAATGCAATGTAATGTAGCGCAAAGCAACGTAACGTAGGTATGCATGTGCTTGGTACCCACACTTTCGGCAAGATCTCAAAGACGCACAAGGCGGGGGCAAACAAAATGCACGCAATGCAAGAAGACAGGACGCTTTCTTCTATTCCCGGCACAAAGAGTGAGGCAACCCGATCGCTAGGATGCCCATGCCCCATGAAAAGAACTTTGAGGTCGCAACCTGCAGACAATGCTGAGTGAGTGTCTGTTCAAAAATGCTCGCAACTTTCAAAAGAAAGAAGGGGTCAACGACGCCTCTTCCAACCTCACCAGTTGCCACTAGAAAGGGCACGCGTACGCGTTGGAGCTGACTTGGCGAAAGTCTCCCGGTCTCTGAACGCCAGGGGTATTTAAAAGATTCTGATCTGGGCTTAGAAACAAAATCCAACTCTTGGAACCGCCAGGTTTACACCAGTTTCTCACTTGGCAAATGCAAACCCCGCGCCCGCGCGAACTCGGAGGTCAAAGGGATCCCGCGGCTCCCATGGAAAGCTGGTGTTACTTGCCTGCCCAAAAACGTGCAAAGGCAAACAAAAAAGGCAACGGGGCAACGGAATATCCAACCAAGCGGGGCGTTCTTGGGGCATTGCAGCTCGACCCCGGCCAGGAAATCCGCAGCTTCCCTGGCTCGATTCGTCCTTGAGGACATCCATGGCTTCCTTCTTTGCGTCCTCCCGCTTTTGCTTGATGGCCTGCAGGCAAAAAATGTTCCAGCGAACCGTTCGCGGATGAAGCCACTTCTCTCAAGTCAGGGTCCACCCAAAACCGATTCCCCAATTGTTGCCCAAAGCATGCGGTTGCCCTGTCCTAGGTTTGCTTTTCATCCAACATACCAGGTGTGTCCGTGTCCTATACCTTTTTTCTAGGACGCCAGCCCCACAGTGGCGGTTTGTTGACGATAGCTTTGGAGTGGTTGAAAAGGTGAAGCGAAAGGAAACCCAGCCATTCTTGGCCTCCCGTTGATCGACTACTTAACGGGGGGGAGGTCCTTAAGGCTCTCCCCCAGTAGAACCCCCCCAAAAACAAACAAAACACAAAGCAACAAAAAAACTCCCCCCCAAAAAAATAAACAAAAATGAGAATGCATCCGCACAACAAGCAACTCCCCACCCCCCAAAAACACTCAAACCCGCAAACCCCTCAAACCCTCAACCCCTCAACCCCTCAAACCTCCCCCCCCCCCCCCCAATCAAAGACCGGCCCCCGTCCGCAGCCGAAGCCTCCTGCATGAACTTCATGCCCAAGAGCCCGGTGGAGGGCAACTCGCCCTCCTCGAGGCCCCTGGACTCGACTCGACTTTGGAATTTCGTGTGGACGGGAAACGGACGGGAGTTGACTTGTCTTGGACCCACGGGTTTCTGGCTTGTAGGGTTTGTTTCTTTGCTTTAAACCAAAAAACACTTTTTTCTTTAAACAAAAAACGATCTTGAACAAAAAAAACAGAATCTTGGAAGAGTGTGGGGCATTGGAGTGCTGATTGCAACCCGTGATAGACCGATTTGCAGGGGTGGCTGATGTCGGGGACACATCCGGGTTTAAATCTACTAAACGACCGCCCCAATTCAAAGCAATCCAGAGCACACCATTTCAGGAACTGCTGCAAGAGTGTTTCAGACTAACAAGACACTGCGAGCGTATAAAACAGCACGTGCCAACCAACCTAATGCATTTTCGATGTCAAACAATCCGCACGGGTTGCATGCATGACTAGCACCTGTTGCGTTTTGTCGGCCATCGCGTTGTTTTTTTTTGGGGGGGGAAGTGGTTCACGCAGAAACGCTCGACACGCCATCACTCGAGCACACCCCACTAGCACAGCAGCGTCTCCATGCCCGAATGGTCGTTCAAGGAGTAGACCCCCTAGAAGCAACGAACTTGATTGCTGTTGACCCCCCTGCAAAAAGTTTAACTTTTTGGGGGTTTAGTGGAAAACCCCTTAATTTCCCAACAAGTGAAAGTCTAATGATCCAACCCAATAGCAGTCAAGCGAAGGAGCCGATGTGCTTAAGGGATTCTAGGGATGGACTGACGCCTCCAACCCACCCCAACGGGCTGTTCCTTTACCATCGTTGGGACAAGCTTTGAATACCTCAAACTCGTGACAGGCTGAAAGGTTTGGGCGAGTTGCAGAGCCAACTGCAACCTGTCCATCGCTACATCGCACCAAAGAACCTGGAAAGAGGGAAAGAGAGCTCATTCACTGATATGAGACGGTCCTGTGATGTTCTGCCTAGAGAGTCTTGACCAAAGGTGTCCTTTTGGGAAAATAGGATGGATTTGCCTGGATTTCCGGGGCATGACACCGCTCAAAAACAGGGGCACAGAATCTGGGTGGCAATTGCCCCCCCCAAAAAAAAGGAAGGTGTCACGTCTTGCTTTGTGACATACTCGTTTTCCAGCCAAAGGGTTACAGGCTCCAGGCTTCTTCGGAAGGCGCACGGCAACGTTCCAGGAGTCCACGCTGGATCTCCCGCACGGTGAGGCGCTTGGCCTTGCGATTTTCCGTGTGCTCAAGGCGCTGAGCAACCCAAGTGCTACGAGAGGGGTGGCACCATCATGTACCTTGGGAAGAACACCTGGTTACCCATAGAAACAGAGGTGGAAGATTGAAGCTTTACCCGAAACACTGGCTTGGAGAGAGAACCAGCCCCCCGTTCAACTTGGAAAAGGTGTTGGCCCATGGGCGTGTGGCGCTTTGAGCTCCGAGTTTCCAAGGCGGGGCGGAAAATTTCCGAGTGGGTTTGCCAGGCCCACTTCCTTGTATTAGCTTGAACTTCCGTCCTAGGGTCTACTTGTTTGAGCCAAGGAAGAGTGAGAATCACCAGATTAAGGTGGGATTCCCATCCTCACAACTTTTTTAACATCACGTCACCCGATTTGGTGGAGAACGTCCAGTCAACCGTTCCAGCGCACCTTGTCCAGGGTGCTCTTTTGGCCATCCTCCTCATCCTGGGTCAGCGGTATTCTCCCCTTTTTTCTAGGGGTTGATTCCCCATTCTTTTCAACCATCGTTCTTTTCATAAAACCGGCTGTTTCCCCTGGGTTTTGATGGTTTCCTGAAAAGAAGGATCCCTGGAAAGAATGGGGAAGGTACCCCTAGACTTTTGAC